CCAGCAATACAGAAGGCTAAGGCAGGAGGTTGGCAAGTTCCAGGYCAGCCTCAGCAATTTAGCAAGTCCCTGTCTCAAAATAAAAATAAAAAGGGCTGGGGATGGAAGTTCAATCCCCAGTACCATAAATAAATAAATACTCCAAATCTGAGATTCTTTTGGCAATTTTTTCAAAATGGATTAGCTTATGTTTGGATGAAAGAAGAGGAGTCTTGTTCTCCTCTAAGAATTTTGCATTCAATTCAGACAGAGGACAAATCCACAGAGAACTCTGATYTTTGTCTTAAGAACCCTGGAGGGAAATTCAGACTTGGGCTGACTCAAGTTTTCAGGTCTATCTGAAGCTAATCACTCCACTGGCCAGACCGGATTCCGTTGGTTCGCAAGCCCAGCTACACATTAGCATCACCTGGGAGCCTCCCTGAATTCTGGGTACCAAGCTTCTCTCTTGACCAGTTTCATCAGAAACTCTGCGGGGTGGAGCCCAGGTATCAAGAGTTCCCTGGGCGATTCTAAGGAAYCGAAGATATCTGAGGCCCCTCCCAGTTATCCCTGAGGTGTACAACCATGCATGATTCAACACAGGCGCTTAGCATATGCCTGCTGAATAGAGGGCTGAAGATTATGACTCACCTTCTTTTTTTTGCTTTTTCCATGTTCATAATTAATGAGATAAAACAGCAAAAGGGAAAGGTGAATCCTAATAAGAATCGTTGAGTAGCACTGTCCAACAGAAATTTCTGTGACGATGGGAAGATGCTATAATCTGTACAGCTCACGGCAGAGGTCATGAGCCCAATATGGCTACTGAGTTGTGTTTTTTTTATTTTTTGGGGGGGGTTCATTTTTGTTTTTTTGCGGGGTGAGGGGTATTGGGGATTGAACTCAGAGGCACTCAACCACTGAGCCACATCCCCAGTCCTATTTTGTATTTTATTTAGAGACAGGGTCTCACTGAGTTGCTGAGCACCTCGCTGTTGCTGAGRCTGGCTTTGAACTCGCGATCCTCCTGCCTCAGCCTCCTGAACCGCTGGTATTACAGGTGTGCAYCACCAGGCCAGGCGSCTACTGAGTTCTTGAAATGTGACTAGTGACTGGGGAACTCCATTTTTAATTTTATTTAAGGTTGAATTTAAATTTAAATAGCCACAAATGACTTCTGGCTACCATACTGGACCGTGAGCATATGGAGTGTGTGCCCTTTACCTACACAGCTTGGCCCGTGCTCCCCACACCCCTCCTTTACTAACAGCCCTCTGCCTCCATTACCAGAAATCATGGCCAGGCAGCTAAGGAAGTTGTTCCTGGTCCTCCAGCCAAAGAGGGGGCCCAAGACCCAAGCTAAGTCCACCAGACTGTCCTCTCTGGGAATTTRACTCTAGCTTCAGTGCCACAAGAATAGAAGATGAGTCAGAGCAGATTGATATCAGTATTGATGCCCTAAGACATTGTGTGTTAGTTTCTAGAACATTAGTCCAGAGCATGGTGATCACAATAGTGATACAGGATAGGAGCTAAGAATCATTATCATCATCTTCGTCATCATCAAAGTCCCTGGTACCCAGCAGCTCTGATACACCAGCTCCTGGAATCTAGGAACACAATTTGCCTAGCTTCTTTTCAACTGTAAAATGGGAATMATGCTAACCCTAACTTCTTCCTRAATTTTTGTGAAGACAGCAAAAGAGATAATGGTCATAAATCCTTTGAGCCMAATAAGGAGTTACTCAAGTGTCTGTTATAGGTATTCCCAGGACATAAGGRTTAGGGAGTCAAGGGAGGGTTTGACAAAGGACTCAGGACCTGGGACCAGTTCACAAGCTGTGCAACATCCAGTAAGACACTTGTCCTCTCTAGGCTTGTGACTGAATTGAGTTAGACACATCCATTTCCARTTTCACAATTTCTAATTTATTTGCTGACCCCTTTGCCTAACACATATTCCTTCCTACTTCTATGCACAAATGTCAGAAAATTCTCTAAACTAATTATGACAGTCTTTTACYCAAATTATTTCTTCTTGCCCTGGCTTCCTAACTCACTGGGAAAGTGCCCTGGGTGTACACTCTCATTGATTTCTGTACTAACTCTCTGGCAGAAGACAAAGGCATCACTTCTACCTCCTAGTGAGCCAAAAGCAAAGATCATATCCTCCTGGCTTACTATTGTATCCTCAATGCCTGCTACAGAGCCAGACACATAGAAGGTGCTCCAGAGGTATTTACTGTTTGAATGTTTGAATGAATACCCCCAAGTCGATGTATTGTTTATTCTGAATATTTCAGATCTATTTCAAGAAATCCACAGTACTAATTATCTAATGCAGCATTAGATTACTTGCCCCAAAATCAGATACATTACCCCCAAAACTTACCAGCTTAAAACAGCAATGATGACTTATATCTCAATTTCAGACAGAGCATAGTGAGGTTGGCCTCTCTCTGCTCCATATCTGGAACCTCAGTCACAGAACTCAAAGGCTGGAGCTGGGATCCACTGAAGTCTCAGTCTGCCACCTACCTGGAGATTGATTCTGGTTGTGGGYTGAGAGTCCAGCGGGTACTGTCAGCTAGGATACTCAGGTGGCCTCTCCCTGCAGGGGGGCTTCCCCACAACATGGTTGCTGGGAGGATGCTGACTCGGTGACCTAGCCTCCAGAGTCACATAGCATCCACAGAGCATCCCTCCCACCACATTCTACTCATTAGACTCCCTGTGTTCAGCCCACATTCAAGGAGAGGGGAGCCAGGCTCCATCTTTTGAGAGAAGGAAAAGAACTTATAAGCATGCTCTAAAACCACCACAAGCACTTGGCTAACACAAAAGGCACAGTATGGGGTGGAAACTGAGCCTCTGAAGAAGGAAGGCTTCCATTCAAATTCTAGCTCTGCCACTTGTTATCTGGGTGAGTTTGGGAAAGTTACTCTCTAAGACTTAGTTTTCCTATTCRTACAGTAAGAAGGTGGCAGGTGCTCTTTAGCGACAGAGACATGCTTGAAGTCTTAACTTCTTGACCCTCTTAAGAGAATCCAGGCTCAACTAACTTTCTTGGAGTTAAGGAACCTTTCCCATGATTGCATACCTTTGGTTTCTGAACTTGGAAGCATCAAGAGGAGTCCAGGGGACCCAGGATGTTCTGATATTGGGCAGAACTTGTAAGTAGCAGATGGGGAACCACTGAGGGTCTGAGGAGTCTCTTAAGACTCCCTGTCATACCAGCAGTGTGAAAATCTCCGCATATCAAGAAATGCAACAACTGTGGATCTAAGGAATACAACTCAGCCTGATGGAGCTTAATGYATTAGTCAGTTTCCAGTTACTATAACAAAATGGCTGAGGCAAGTAACATAAAAAGAAAAGGTTTATTTTGGCTCATCATTTTGGAGGTTCCAATCCAAAATGCGTAGTGCATAATTTTGGGCCTCTGGCTAGGGTGGCATATTATAAGTGCATGGCACAGTAGAACCTTTATGATCACCAGTCAGGAAGCAGAAAGAGAGGGGAAAAAAAAGTCTCAAAATCCCTTACACAAGGCCCCACCTCCCAAAGATTCCTCCCTCTCAGAATAACACCCTGTGGACCAAAACCTAACCCGTGAACCTTGGGAAGACATTCAACATCCWGTCTATAGCATTCAGGAATCTGCATTTCCCCCAGAAGGCTGTTATTCTTACTAAATACCAGAAGGGGGAGAGGCTGTGGACTTTAGCAAAGTTCTTAGCTCCAGCTCAGAGAGTTACTTCTCGGTGGGATGGGGGAGGAGGAGGGTGCATAGTGCCTCCAAAGTCCAGGAGCCCAGCACAACMATCAGCTGTATTTTCACCGTTTTCTGAACCGAATGGCTCTCCCGGGCCAGGACTCCCACTTCTATGTCGTGGTCCCACAACCCTAGGGAGAAGCATCCATCCTGCCATGTCCGCGGGACATGGGCATCCAAAGTTCAGTCCAGTGAGGCTGACTAGTCACGTCCCTGGGCGTCCCGCTCCCCCCCCCCCCGGGGCAGGAACCAGGGGAAACGGGATGACTTTTCACCCTTTCATTTCCTCTACTAGATGTCCCCCCTTTAAGGAGCGGACGCGCCAGGAGGGAATTGGTGATCACCTCTGCCAATATGTGGAAGCTGAGGCCTAGAGAGGAAGTGATCTATTGAATGTCCCTGAGCAAAACAAGCGCTGACCCCGGGTCTCCCAGACCAGTGCTCTCGCAGCCCCACGCTGAGGTCCCCGACGTGGTACCCACTTTAGGAAATTCCCGACCGCAGGAATTCCTTTGGCGCCAGGAATCTTCCTAGAGTTTGCGCTCTGTTCGGTCCATTGTAAACTTCCTCCGCGACACCGCACGGTCTTCGCTGCGCCCTAAAAGAAAGGTGAGAAGGGAGCGAACCCACCGCGTGGTTGAGAGAACTAGGAGCAGAGGGACGTCTGCGGGAGGGGAGGACCCGGCGGGAATGCGCTGGCCCTTTAAGGGGGGGACGGAGCGCATGCGCGCGCGGCCGGAGTCGAGCCGGGTGGGCGGCGGGAGGGCAGGGGACCCGGCGGGCAGCAGCCGGGCCGCAGCCGGGCCTTGGCGCGGCGGGGTTGGCRGCGGCGACCCCGGCCTTGCCGAGCCGCCATCTGCCCGTGGGCTCGGGGTCCACAGGCTGCTCCCCGGGGGCCAGCGCCACCGGCGCCCGCCCGGGCTTTGTCACTCGCCTCCAGCTCCATCCGCCGGCCGTGGCTGCGCGAGCCCGAGGCTGGCCTTTCCCGCCCCGCGGTCCTTCTTCCATCCCGCAGCCGGGCAGCGGGAGCCCGAGCCGACAGCCACGGAGCATCCTTCGCCCGCCCCGGCCGCGCCACCGTCCATGCTGCAGCCGGCCTGGGGCAGCGACCCCGCGGCCGGAGCCCGCCGCTCGGTGACCGCAGACTGGCCCCTGTGCACCGCCGGAGCCGGTCCCTCTGAGCTCCGGGCCCTGGCGCGGGAACCGCGCCCCRCGATGGCTGGGCTGGCGCCGCGCCGCGCCAGGTGCCCACCGTCCTCCCGCTGAGACGCGCCCGGCCGGGGACCGGCTGGGGACCTGCTGGGGACCGGCGGGGCCTCGAGCTCCGGGTCTTCGACACCCACCCGCGCGCGCCTTGCCCCCTCCCCGGGCTCGGCTCCCGCAGGCGAGGAGGCGGGGGCGCAGACAAAGCCCACTTTGTGCGGGGAGTTGGCCGCGGGCGTGGAATGTGCGCGTCGCCGCGCGCCCCCTCCCCGCGCCCCGCCAGCTGCGAGTCTCGGCTCCCGGACTTGTCGCGTCCGAGAAATCGCTCCTCCGCGTCGCCCTCCCGCCCGGGGGTCCCCACTCGGAGCTCACCAGGCTCCCCGTGGCCGCGGTCCCTCCACCCCCAGGGGCGCGCACCGGTGTGAGCGAGCGGGGCTTTGTAGAGGAATTTTTGTTCACTTCGAAACTGGAACCCGGACGCCCGGGCGGCGTGGGCACTGTGCCTTTGACCCTCCCTTTCCGCGGCCGCAGATCCGAGTTGTCTGGCCTCAGTTTCCCTCGACTCCCCTACCCTCGGCTGCCCGTCATTGTTCTCGCTGCCAATGAGGGTGCTTTGTGAAGGCTGCGGGATGGGGGTGTAGTCTCTTTATCCCAGTTTTCAAACAAAACAAGGCCCTTAAGGCTGACCCAGGACAACCCACCCCTGGGCCCCCACTTCAGGTTGATGCACTGATTTTTTTTTTCTTACCGAGTAGTATTTCATTGTACAAGAGCCACGCCCTGGTTTCTTAAAGGCGCCCTACCCTCTGTTTGGCCATGTGTTATTTCTGCAGCTAGTGTGTGGGAGGCCTCTGGTGAACCACCTATTTTTCCCGCCTCCTGATACCTCCTCCCACCCGCACCGAGGATTTAGGAATGCCAGGAGGGAAGAAGGTGATTGGGGGTGGCAGCAGCGGTGCTGCCCCAACTGCTGCCGCCACTGTCGCTGCCCCCACTGGGGTCAGGCGTTTGGAGACCAGCGAAGGGGCCTCTGCCCAGAGAGATGATGAGCCAGAAGAGGAAGGGGAAGAGGACCTGCGAGATGGAGGCGTCCCTTTCTTYGTCAACCGGGGTGGGCTGCCTGTGGACGAAGCCACTTGGGAAAGGATGTGGAAGCATGTAGCCAAGATCCACCCTGATGGAGAGAAAGTGGCGCAGCGGATCCGTGGAGCAACGGACCTGCCCAAGGTGAGGCATGGGGCATGRGATGGGGGTGGAAGGGAGGGGCACAGGATGAGCTAGGGCAGTGACCTGGGGCTGAGAGCAAAGCCACACTCTTCCTCTGATGGCTAGGGCAGCAACCACAGGTGTGGTAAGAGTTAAAAACTAGACAGGTCATACTTGTCCAGAACTTTCTCTCCATTGCTTTTGGGATCATTCTATGAGGGAGGTTGTCCTTCATCACTTTTGGGGCAGGATTTAGATAACTAACAAGCAAACTAATGTGGCTTGACATCTGTTTGGCTAATGACACTTGCTAAGCCAGAGAACTTGGAGCAGACAGATAATAAATGACTAAGGAAATACAGGAYTTCATATGCTGAGGAACTATTTTCAGGTGTTACCTCACTGAATTCTCCAACAGCCTTGCCAAGTAAGTGCACTTTGGGTCCCCATTTTACAGATAAGGAAGATCAAAGCACAAGTAGCAAGTCAAGTCAAGCCAGTAAGTGTCAGAGTGGGGACTGAGCGCCAGGGCTTTGGAATCCAGTGTCTCTGCTCTGTTGAGCACTAGGTTCAGGGAAATTAAGAATAAAGGAGGAAAAAATATGGAGAAGAGTAAAGTTAAGTATTTTGTGTTGGTTGGAACTCCTCTATAACAGCAATACTTCACTTGTTTTGCCAAGGAAGGCAGAGGCAGTATCTCATTCATCTTTGTCCTCCCAAGGTCTCCTGTGTGCCTGGCACAGAACAGGCACTGATGTGTGTCTGCTGAATGAAAGGGTATTTGAGACTTTCTGCCCTGTACAGTGCTRTATGGAAATTCATGCCTGATATATTTTTTAAACATTATCAGTAAGTCAAAGGAAGCAGTGTCTCCAGTACAGAACCCTTTGGGCAGAGTTCAACACAATGCCTAATCCTGCCTTCTCAGGTGAGAAGGGTGGGGGCTAGGGAGAATGGAATCAGAGGGGCTTATGCATGGGGAAAAGTGGCCTGTTTTGTTTTTACCAGGTTATTGGTAGAGCCATTTAAAAATGCCTGGGAAGGGGTTGGGGTTGTAGCTCAGTGACTGAGGGCTTGCCTTGCATGCGTGAGGCACTAGGTTTGATCCTCAGCACCACAAAAAATAATAATAATAAATAAATAAATACATGCCTCGGAAAACAAGTCAGAGATTGAGGGCTGAGCTATTGTCTAATGTTTCCAGGAGAGAAACACTAGGTTGATTTTGAATGGCTGCATCATGATCCTCTGTACTGACTTATAATTTATTTAGTTAATATGTGGTTGGACATTGTTTCCAGGATTTTATTCTTAAAATGAACACTGTGTTGAACATTCTAAAACAAATATGGGATCCATCTATGATTTTTTTTTTTTTTTTGCCTTTGGGATAAATTTGAGCACTTTCCTACCATAAGTGAGGCCCTGGGTTTGATCCCCAGTACCACAAACACACACACACACACACACACACACACACACACACAGAGCCAAAGGGTATGTACATTGGTTTGGATCACCTGCCTGTCTCTATGACCTCAAGAAGGTCCCTTTGACCTATTTAAGCCACAGTTTTCTCATCTGTAAAATGGAGTTGATTGTGGGGAAAAGTGAATGAGGCACCAGGTGTTCAAGCATTTGACAAACTGGAAAATACCAAACCAATACTGGTTGTGGGTGCTCATGACCTGTTCTCCCTTTCTTCGAGAGGAGGGGAGTAGATGTTACTCAGAGCAYCTGTGCCAGTGGAACCAGAGTGGCACACTTGTCCCACATGAGCAGGATGGTGCTGAGCAGGCAGCTCTCCCCGCCGTTCTCCTATGTCTAAATAGGGAGGCAGGAGAGTGTGAATGGCTTCCTGTAGGGCTGTCACCACTTCTAGGGACTAAAAAAAACACCCGTGAGCTCACTAGGAACTGCTCAGGGATAGCATTTTGTCATCTTCAATTCTGATGGACAGGAAAGGGATGGGTAAGGGAAAGAAGCTACCCGGGAGGAAGGAGTTGAGGTGGCCAGGACTGTRATGGGGTGGGAGGAATTTCATTGAAGATTTGGAAAAATTGGAAAGTTCTCCTCCTTGAGCGGTGGGAAAGGTGTCTCAGAGAAGCCGCCTGTGTCTGCAGGAAGTTCCTCCCCTACCTTGGCCCCGAGTCAGAGGGAGGCCTTGGAGAAGGGCAGCTGTGGTGGGTGTCATACCGCGAGCCTCGGAGATCACTGTCCCCAGGGCACACCTTCCCTAGCAGCCGTGATGTTGGAGTTGGCATGGGGCATTTCTACAAAGTCTCTGTGGTGGGTCCAGGAARTGTGTTGTCACAACTGCACTGTGTTTTAAAAGCCCACCTGAGCCAAAAGTTAAAATGGGGAGAGTCTCCCAGAACAAAACACAGGTTTGGCACCCCTTCAGAAAACGAGACAAATGAGAAACAGAGGCCGCAGTCCCACATGGCAGCAGGGGCTGGGGAGGGGTTCCCCTTCCCCAGCTTGCCACAGCCCCCTCCCCCTGCCATTGTTTCCAGGATTTTATTCTTAAAATGAACACTATGTTGAACATTCTAAAATAAATATGGGATCCATCTCTGATTTTTTTTTTTTTTTCCTGTTACCTGCCCAGCCCAGACAGGCAGCTGTRTCTGGGCCCCTGCCAGGTAGTGTGATTAAAGGAGCATCTCTGGAGTGAGGCACCATGTTCAAATCTCGTTCTCCTGCATGTACTTACGGGAGGAAGGTGTGCAACCCCCTTGCCCTCGGTTTCCTCAGTTGTGAAATGGGCTCGATGGGCAAGGCCCACTTCAGAGGATGTTGGTGGAAAAGACGGAAGGCCTCATTAGGGGAGCATCCGGCAGGTGCTCCAAAATGCACAGAGCGGGCATGCAGCACCCCAGACACACACACACACACACACACACACACACAAGGGCTTTGGAGAAAGAGCTTCTGCCAGGATGGTGTCAGTAGGGCCAAGAGCAGCAGTATCTAGAAGGATCCCAAAGCCAGCAATGGTTGATGCTCCTTGATGACAATCTCCCCTCGCCATTTCAAGCTGTCACCACCTTTACAAGCCTGTTGGCCGGCCGCTTATGACACCCAGCTGCTGAAGGTCTAACCGTGACTCTGGCCATTGAGCACCTGCAGAGTGGGAATCTGGACATCTCATGCCATGCCCGGGTAGGAGTGCTGGTGGACAGGCACTGAGCCTTCGCTACATGCCAGGCCCTGTTCTAAGGTGTCCGTAGGCAGCAACTCATTTGCACCGCAGACGGGTTCTCTGAGGGTTCCTGTCTTAAAACAGGGCTTTGAGACACAGAAGTTGAGGAGCATCACTGAAGTCACGGAGCTGGGCTTCAGTGGCATGTCTAGTTCTGGAGTGTGTTCTGTCATCTCCTACCACTGGCTCTCCCCTCCTTCCCGAGGCCGCCTCATTGTGCTGGGCTGAGGGGCTGCACCAGTGCTAGTGTCCTGTGGGACTCAGGCCTTCAGGGACTCCTGGGACCAGGGGCACCCTTGCCTGGGGTCATGGAGGAGGAGCTGCCAGGGAGATCTGGGTAGCAGATCTCACCAGCCCGCCCTGTGCCCTTGACCCCACCCCTCAACAGGGAGCAAGTTTTGCTGCCTCCTGTTTTGGAGGTAGAGGTTGAAGGTCAAATCCAGGAGACCAGTCCCCAAGTGGCCTGCTCACCTGGAGGTGCAGAGTTCTAACCAGCGAGCGAACGGGTCTGTGTTTGTCGTGGACACTGAGGAAGAACGTGGGGCGCACTGGGGCAGCGTGAGTCAGGGAGCTGGCCAGACGCTTCCTTCCTCCTTGGCCTGGGTGATGGGCACTCTGAGGCCCTGTTGGGAAGCCCAGTCTCTTGGACTCTCTTCCTTCTTACAAAGCTGCTAGTCCCTGGGCTCTCTCTCTAGATGGCAGGTGCCCGTGTTCTCCATGCTCATGTGGGCGCTGCCTGGCCTTGGCCCCAGCCTGGTTCTGCATGGTTCTTGGACTGCAGCTCCCCCATGGGAGGTGCACTTACCGCATCCCCCCTTAACTCCTTGCCTCACGGTGGGGGGGGTGCCACCTGAGGTCRGGTGCCACCTGGGGTTGGGTGCCTGAATGGATGTGCAGTGCTGTTGATGGGAAATGGCTCCGTGATTCCTGGAATACCACTTCCCTCCCCGCTCTGCCCCCAGATTCTTGACCCAGAGGAGGCCATGGGCACAGGGTGGTCAGGCAGGGAGAGGGGGAGCCCCCACCCCTGGACTTTTATCCTACTAATGACTGTAAGTGGTGGCACTAGTTTGAGGAGGAGAGTAACGTGCCAAGGGAAATAGCTTTCTCCAGACTGGGTTGTCAGCTGCGTGGGCGGGTGTGGTTGCCAGGGACAGGACTTCCCCGGGCAGGAGGGAGAGGACCCGGCAGGGGGAGGGGCCGTTTGTGCAAGACTCTGGACCAGGGGCCCTTCCCCTCCTGCATCTCTGCCCTGTGGAGGGAGGAGGCATCTGTTAGACACTGTCCTGTGTCCCCTGCCATCAGCAGGCTCCATATGTGAGTGTGCGGTGATAAGTAGAAGGTCCCTTCCTCCCCGTCAGAAATGATAAGAAGAAWGTCCCTTCCTCCCCAGCCACCAAAACCACAGCATTTAAAAGGCTGTGCCCTGTGGGCTCCATATCGCCTCCTCTGGGAAGCCTGCCAAGGGGAGGGCCGAAAGAGCTGGGTCCTGCCCTCCCCCCACAGGGCTCCCCCTCCGCCCTCTCTGCATTGCCCCCACAGACCTCCCACGTACCCCCCACAGACCCCCCACTGCAGCCCCAGCCCCGTGGGGCAAGAGAGCTCGGTGTAACCTCAGAGGACCAGGTGGTGGCCTGGGGGAAGAGATGGGGCAAGGGTGGGACCTCCCTGTGCTGGTAGCCARAGGGAAGCCCGGAGGGGTGGCTTTGCCCCTGGAGGTCTGGCTCTACCCAGGGAATCTGTTGTGAGTCCTCAGAGGACCCTCACCGATGCACTCCTGGTCCCCTGGCCTCTCTGACGGTGGCAGCCAAATGCCAGGACTCAGGCTCCCGGGGCTGAAGGGGGCACCCAGGCCTGCACGTGGCCTCCTTCCTGGAGGCTGYCTGGCTGAGGGAAGGCCAGGGTCTGCCTCTGCTGCCTGACTCCCAGCGTCCCAGCATCTCATCCCCGTCCCGCCTGGCCGGGCTGATGCTGGGGAGTCAGGACCGTCTGGCTTCTTGTACTGTTGAGGTAGGGAGCTGGTGGCAAAGGAGACCCCAAGGGCCCTGGGCCTTTGTCAGACCCTTCCAAGCAGCCAGGTTCTGGTGAGTAGAGCCACAAGAAGACATGTCCCAAAATAAGTCCTCTTACCCTGCTGCCACTGAGGTGTCCCCAACCATCCAGGCTGGCACTTTGGAAACCCTGCTAAATGTGCCTGTGCTACCGGGGTGGGTGATGTCCACTGTAAGATATCTTCATCTCTCTCCCGAGACATCACCCTGGGCGGAGGGACTCTGGGAAAGCCAGTTATAGGTTTTTGTTTGGTTGGTTTGTTTTTTGATACTAGGGATTGGACCCAGGGGAGCTTTACAACTAAGCCACATCCCCAGCCCTTTTTATTTTTTGAGACAGAGTCTCACTAAGTTGCTGAGGGCCTTGCTAAGTTGCTGAGGCTGACCTTGAACTTGGAGTCCTGCCTCAGCCACCCACATTGCTGGGATTTCAGGCGTACATTAGGACACCCAGCACCATTTTTTGTTATTCTAATGAAATACCTGTGGCAAGATACTTATGAAAAAAAAAAAAAAAGTCTTTTTAGCTCACAAAGTTCAAGATTGGTGACCCCAATGCCATTAGKTCAGCCTCTGGTGAGGGCCCAATGGCGGTGCATGGCATCATGGTTAGAGAGCAGGCAAGAGAAGGATGGTCACATGGCGGAAGCCAGAGRAAGGGGGAGGGGCCAGGCATGCTCCTTTTATGACAACCCTGAGATCCGCTTCAGGGTCCACAAGAAGAAAATTGCCTTCTTTCTTTCTGAGGGCAGGCCTCTGGTGACATAATGACYTCCCACTAGGACCCACCTCTTGACATCACCACACTGAGGACCAAGTCTCCCACACCTCTGGGGGACAAACCACGCTCACCATAGCACAGAATGAACCCCACACCTGATGAGCTTAACTCCAATACTGACATTCTCCCTAAGCCTTGAAGGGAATGAATATGTAAAAATCAGAACAGTTGCTGAATCAACCTATGTTTTGCTAAAATTATTAAAGAAGCATAAAATTGGAAAGTCCACRCAAGCTCTGTATAGAAATGCTGTCAAGGCAGGAGGGGAGGAAGGTTTGCCAAGCAAGGAGGCTGGGCAAGAGGGAAGGAGGCTGCCTCTCCCCAGGGTCTGGCTTCTCGGGGGYGAATGCTGGTGTCTGCAGGGCCGGAAGCTCAGGGTGGGCCTGCCCTTGTGACCAGAGCTCTTTCTGTATCTCCAGATCCCCGTACCGAGTGTGCCTACTTTCCAGCCCTCCACTCCCGTCCCCGAGCGCCTGGAAGCCGTGCAGCGCTACATCAGGGAGCTGCAGTATCCTCTCTGGTCTGGGCCCATGACCACCGTCTCGTTACTCAACCAGAAGCCAAGTGGGCTTGCCTCAGAGGAGGCTAGAGAGGGTCCACAGAGCCACTTCGTCCCCATCTTCCAGGCTCCATTCACCCGGGCTTCTCTGTGCTACCTGGAGCTGGGGGGACTTCATCGGATGACCTGCTCCAGCCCCTCCCTCACCAGCTTTCCTGCTGCCTGTGTGTGACAGGGAGAGAGAGGGAAGTGGCCCCTGAGACTGGCTGCAGGAAGTGGGTGGTCCCTGTCATCCATSCAGCCCTAGAGGAAGCAGCAAGAAGGTTCCCTGGGGGTATTGGAAAACGGGTTTTAAAAGTGTGGGGAATGGGGAGGAAAAGGGACTTTAAGCTCCAGGAGGTCACTTGCACATCCTGGAATTTTCTCCTGTTTCTTCAACTTGTCTTCCCTGGCAAGAGGCCCTTTGCCCAGCCTGTAAAGAGGTGGGTGCCTGAGTCCTGTTGGAGGGCCCCTTAACACCTTCCCCCTGCCCCAGAGCAGTGTCCTGGGTCCTCTCCCTCAGCCCTCCTGACTGCAGAGGAGGCCGAGGAGGGGGAACTCRACATGGGTCCCGAATAGAGAAAGGCCCGCTGAGGACTACAGTCAGGCCCCGTCCCTCTGCTCTCCAGAGGGAATATTGAGGTGCGGAGGGAGAGGTTGGCTTGGGAGCACCTAGCAACTGGAGGTTGAGCTGGACCCCCACCCTCCAGCCTCCTCTGTCTGCAAAATTCAGTGCTTCAGGAAGCCGTTCCCAGCCATGGCTTCTGGCCACCAGCTGTGGCTTCTGGCCACCAGCTGTCTGCTCAAAGTCCCCGTCTGAGAAAGGGAGGCCAGGAAAGAATGAGTGAAAGCTGGAGAGGATGGGGGGGGGGGGCGAGGAAAGAGAAGGGGCTGTGAGGGGGAAGGAGAGGCACCCACCCACCCTGTGCCCTTCTCTCCCCTGCAGGAGAATCAGGTCAGAGCACCCTCCAAGGTGCTTTGAGGAGGCCCCTTGCTGTGTCCTTACCCAGCCTACACTCCTGGGGGATGGGCAGGGGAAAGGGACACCTTTTCAGATGAACCCAGCCGGTCCTTAACCAGCTCCCACAGGTACAATCACACAGGGACACAGTTCTTTGAAATTAAGAAGAGCAGACCTCTGACAGGGTAAGAATGGGACACCCAGCCCCCTGCCCGGGTTCACCGTGCCCCCTGCCCGGGCTGAATCCGTAGGAGCCCCTGTGGTTTGCCTTTGGATGGAAGTTTAGATATTCTTGGGGGAAAGCCAGCCATTGGGCTGGTACCTGGGGTACCTGGGTCCTGAGGGTGTCATGATGTCAACGTTCACCTGAGATGAACAGCCAGGGCTATCTTAGTGAAAGGGAGCCCACCCCCACCAGTCCATGCTGAGCACGGAACATGACAGGCAGCAGCCCCCACCTGCCTTGATGATAGAGGGTGGTCCCAGGTCCATGGGCCACCTGGGCTTTTTCCAGTGGAGCAAGAGACAGCCCTTCTCCTTCTCTCCCACAGTGGCCCCTGGGCATCCACCCATCGTGTCCTTCTGGACTCTTTTCTGGCCATGTAACTGAAGGTCCAGTATCAGTGTCTGAGCATTAGGGACCCCTCTAGAAGGTGGCATCTCTCACTCCTCGACACCTGGCTGAGCCACTCGCTCCGGGCTCTAGAGAACTTCTGCCAGGGAAGCCCCAAGGGCAGAATGGGGAAGAGGATGGTGGCCGAGGCTGGAGACATGGCCCAGAGATGCCCATAGGCTTAAAATTTTTAAATCCAGGAGTTTATAATTTTTAAAACCCAGRTAAATTTTGCATCTTGCTCCACACATAATTTATGTTTGCTTTCTTATGGAAAAAAAAAAAAAAAGATTAAAGAAACCTTTAAATGCTTTATTGACGGAATGACCGGCTCTTGAGGCCCCAGGGGGAACATCCACCTCCCTAGGCCCCTAGCTTTGTTCTCTGGCTGCTGCCCGCTGGGGGCCCCTCCAGCCCCTGTAGATGGAGGAATCCAGGCACTCTTGTGGAAGGCCAGTGGCCAGGCCGAATCCTGGGCCCCAGGACAGACYCTCTTAAAACGGCCTGAGTTCCAAGTTCAGGAGCAGGCCGCGGGGGGGGGGGGGGGGGGGGGGGGGGCACCAGGCAGCCATCTGCCTGAGACCCCACGTCTGGGCTTTGGGAGCAGTTGCATCCATTAGCCGGCTCTTCAAAGGCACCTTGGTTAAGTCAGGAATGCCCACTGCGCTCCGGCAGGGAAGAGGTCAGTGCCAAGGTCCCCACCTCCTCCCACCACTGTCATTGCAGAGGCCCCAGCACAGTGGCCGTCAAGGTCCTGTCCTCCGTGCTGCTCCCCTCCCCCAGAGGTCTTTAAAGGACAAGTGGGAGAGAAAATGAAAAGAAGGAAGGAACTGAGGGAGAGGGCCTCTTTCCACCCCCTCATCGGCAGCCCCGSGAAAAGGGGAGGAGCCTGAGCTGAGGGCAGCTTGAGGGGTGGGGTCTGTCCTTCTAGCCTTCTGGTCWCCCAGCCCCCTCCCTCTGACATCCCCCCACCGGAAGGGCCAGAGGCATTGTCCTCCGCTGTCTCCCTTTCCCACAGGCTGATGGACCTGGCCAAGGAAATGACCAAAGAGGCTCTGCCAATCAAATGCCTGGAAGCCGTGATCCTGGGAATGTATCCTTCCCCGGCCCTGGGAGGCCTGCGAGGGGACCGGCCTGTCCTGGCCTCAGCTTCCTGTTCCAGAAGTGGGGAGAGGGAAAGAGGCCCAGGGCTCCCCCAGCTCCCCTGTGCAGCCAGGAACTTGACCCTTGGTGAGGAGCCTCCCCAAGGTGGAGGAGCCTCGGGACTCAGCCCCCTGTGCCTCAGTTGCTTCCTCTTCAGGTTTGCTGGCAGCTCTTTTTTGAGTTCATGGACCCAGTGATCTTTCTCTGAATTCTGAATMGGGCACAGTGTCTCCTATGGGCTGCTGTACCACTGCCAGGCAAGGTGGTGCATGTCTGTAATCCAATTATTCAGGAGGCTGAGGCAGGAGGATTGCAAGTTTAAGGCCAGCCTAGGCAACTTAGTGAGACCCTGTCTCAAAAACAGGAAGAGTTGGGAGCATCTCTCAATGGTAGAGCACCCCTGGGTTCAATCCCCAGTACCACAAAATAACTGGAAGAAGCAGACCAGCTCCCAGGAGTGGCTGCCCTCCCCCAGGGCCCCCAGTCAGAGCAAGGGCAGGTGAGGCAGGTGTTTGTGGTCAGATATTTTCCTAATTGGTCAGCACCTCAGCGCCATGATTTTTTTTTTTTTTTTGGTACTTTTATGAGGGATTGAACCCAGAGATGCTAAACCATTGAGTCATGTCCCCAGCCTATTTTTATTTTTTGTTTTAAGACAAGTTCTTACTCAGTTGGTTAGAGCCTCACTATGTTGCTGCTGAGGCTGGTTTGAACTTTCAATCCTCCTGCCTCAGCCTCCAGAGCCACACCTGGCTCCTACCTTTCTTTTTTTTAATGAGTCATTTTATTAGAAAATATATTAAAACTTGTACAAATATAGAATGATAAAATGAATTCCCATGTATCCATTTCTCAGCTTTACCATTTCAGAGCCAATTGTGTTTCRTCTCTTCCCACCCCTCCCATATTCCCTACCAGCTTTTCTTTCCTGGCTTCGATTGACTCCAGTGAGGCTCTACCACCAAGATACACCTCCAGCTCTTTTTACTTTTTATTTTGAGACAGGGTCTCACTAAGTTGCTTAGGGCCTTGCTAAGTTGCTGAGACTGGCCATGAACTTGATCCTCGGGTGATCCTCGGGTCTCAGACTCCAAGCCACTGGAATTATAGGTGTGCACCACCTCGTGCTGGGTCCCTGCCAGCCCTGAATCATTTTGCCTATGGATGATCCCTAGGGCAGATAGCCCACCAGCTCAGTGCTGCAGAGAGTGCAGATTGGAGGTAGCCGGAAGGATCAGGGAAGGACACCTAATGAACAGGAAGTGCATCTGCAGGACTAGGTCTCAGGAGAAGTCAAAAGTGAGAAGGATGCTCCCTCAGGGCTGTAACCGAGGTGACACTCTCCYATGGACATACCTGCCTCAAGTTTACACAAAAAGGCTGTGGTGCCCCCTGCCTCATCCCCTCAGAGGTCCTAAGAGCTAGCTCCACTGTGGCAGTCATTTGTGATAGCATGGACCCATTTCCAGGAGCCCAGCCAGTGTCACCTTGTCTAGGGCTCTTGGTGACTTTAATCATGAGACCCCTCAGGAAYGTCAGGCTGCTGCCAGCACCTCCTTGAAGACCCCTCGTCCCCTCTCCTTCAGGAGCCATGCACTAAAGCAGAGGCTCCATCCCTGCAGAGCAACCCGGATGCTGGGCCAGCCAAGATCATGTGGTCCCAAGGCCTTTCAAGGGTCATTTGGTGGCTTGTGGGCACAAGGAAAATGGGAACAGTACCTAGTCTGGTGAAGGGCCCCTCCCCGTGTCCCCACAGCTCCTCGGTGCAGTGGGCTCTGCACTCTTAGCTCCTGGGTCTCCTTCCCATGCACTTTGCCCAGCAGGGCTGTGCCTTTCTCATATACTCTATGTCCCTGGTCACTGGCAAGGCATTGGGCTCAGTCAGCACTGGTAGACTGAGTAGTGCTAGAGGAAGCACAGTGTAGTGTCTGAGGCCACAGGCTTAATCCTGGCTCTGCTATGTACTACGTGACCCCCAAGCAAGTTCCCTAACATCTCCGAGTCCTGGAGTCCTCCCTTGCAAATGGGGGTAGTAGTAGTGCCTGTGGCACAGTCTCTAGGACTAGTGAACAAGTCGTTCATCTAGGGCACTGAGTGCAGCCTCTGTAGGTGGCATCTGCCCCCCACTGGCTCACTCATCCCTTTCTACCCATGTATTCAAGAAGAGTGTTACTGAGTGACTGTGATTGGCTGGACTCGGGRACAGGCCCTAGAGAAAGAGCAAAGAGCATGGCAGCCAAGGTCCCTGTCCTCGGGAAGTTTCCTCTCTGGTGGAGGAGACAGAAACAGCAAGCAAACCAAGAAATAAGTGGAAAATGGATGGTGGTGGGTGCCATGGAGGAAAATCGGGGAGTTGACTTGCTTGAGGCCTGCAGAGGAGCTGGCCAGGCGGGCAGGGCAGGAGACCCTGCAGGAGCRGGGCGAGGGGCTGAGGAGAGAGGCCCAGGTGCCTGGAGGGGGTGAGCAAGTGGGACCAGTGGGCTGAGAGGCTTCAGTGTGCCTCCGACCSGCTGTGGCCACAACTTGATTCTATTTGAGAGTCAAGGGACAGTGTCTGTGTAGGGGGAGGGGGCTAGGGTGAGAAAAGGAGAGGCCACCAGAATGTTCTGCATCTGTGAGGAGATGTATGTGTGAAAGAAAATGGAGAGAAGGTGTCTGGGGGGACCAGCGACTGCGAAGTGCGTGGGATCGACAGGAGTGGGGTGGGGAGCCGAGGGCACCCTACAGCTTTGGAAAGATCTGCAGTTTGGAGTAGGGGACCCYTGTTAGCTGTTACTCTGGGAGCTCTGATTGACATGGCAGCCYCAGTGTTCCCATGGAGGTCAGTTCAGGAGGCCCCCGGTACACCAGCTTGAGGCTAGAGGACAGGGATTTGGAGATGAACAAGCTGTGGTGTCTGCCTTCAGAAGCTGGTGGCCTAGGGGTCCCTGAGCCACATGCAGGTGGGTGGCGGCTGCCCCAGCCCCGCCCCTCGTGCTGGTCCCACTCTGCTGGCCCTTTCCTTAGCGGGGGTGACTGGCCAGTTACCTCACCAACAGCATGCCCGCCCTGGAACGCTTCCCCATCAGTTTCAAGACCTACTTCTCAGGGAACTACTTCCGCCACATCGTGCTGGGGGTGAACTTCGGGGGCCGCTACGGGGCCCTGGGCATGAGCCGGCGGGAGGACCTGATGTACAAGCCGCCGGCCTTCCGCACGCTCAGCGAGCTCGTGCTCGACTACGAGGCCGCCTACGGCCGCTGCTGGCACGTGCTCAAGAAGGTGAAGCTGGGCCAGTGCGTGTCCCACGACCCGCACAGCGTGGAGCAGATCGAGTGGAAGCACTCGGTCCTGGACGTGGAGAAGCTGGGCCGCGATGACTTCCGCAAGGAGCTGGAGCGCCACGCCCGCGACATGAGGCTCAAGGTCAGGCTCTGCCCTCGGGAGGCCAGGCTCTCCCCTGGCGGCTTCCCTCCCTGCTGTCACCCCATGCCCCACTCTAGCAGAGGTGGTGGGAGGATGAGGGAGGGGATGGTGTGTCCTGGCTGCCTAATCTCAGTGGTCTTATTGCCCAAGTTGTCCCCTGGGTGGGCAGGCCAAGGACAGCTCAGGAAAGAGGAAGCAGGGATTGAGTTGGCATGGTGGTGGGTCTTTGGCACAAGAAGGGCAGAGGCATGGATTCCAGACCAGCTAGGGGGAAATCCTGACCTAAATGAGGGGAGTGGTGTGGGGGACACAAGAGCCTCCCCTCTCCTGTGTGTCCCCACACTTGAGCCCCAGTACCCAGCATTCACAAAACACTAGGGGAGAGTCGAAGAAAGGAAATCCGGCCCCAGGGAAGACAATAAGGTGGTGATTTCTTCCCCCTCTTTGCCACCTACCAGGGGATGTCTGGGGACTTTGGGGGTCTGTTAACCCAGAARAACTGGGCTTGAGCTACTGAGGAGTTGGTCCCTTTCTGCAGGTAGAATTTGGGGCTCTTTCTGGGTCCAGCTGGACCAGAGGGACTTCCCTTGGGGCCTGATAGGGTCCCCTCYTGGGCTCAGCCACTCTGGTTGCTCAGCCCCAGCCGCACTGTGACTGTGCCCCTCCAGATGACCTGGAGCCTCCAGCTCGGCTACCAGCCTAGGCACTGGCTCATGGCCCGTCCTTGTGTCAGCCCTGGGGTCAGCAGCCATGGAGCTGCCTTGACAAGATGGGAAGCCCAGAGACTCGTGGGCAGGCGGGTGGCCGTGAGAGGCAGATCCGACTGGAGCTCAGCCTGCTGAGGGAGGGTCTGAGCTTGTCACAGGCAGCTGTGAGAGTCCAGGCAGGGGACTCTCAGCCAGCCCCTAGCCCAAGACCCTGTRGACTGACAGTGCCTTCCCCCAAGGCAGAGGTGGGCTGCAGGGACCCTGCACTAGAGAGGGGCTGCTGTCTTCTGCCCTAGGTGGGCACCCTGTTCTGGGTCCGCCTGCACCCTTGCTTTTGCTGCAGGGAATATTATTGTGTCTCCAAGGCTGCAGGTTGGACCTAGAGGTGGAACCAACAGTTACTTGGTCATTAGTCCTGTGACTCCCCACTCATTCAGCACGAAGGCTTCTCTGGTATTTTCCCCTCTCCAGCTCCCCACAGTAGAGAGAACTCAAGTCGAGTTGAGTGTGTTGCCTWAGGAATGATTCATCTCATTTATTTATTGTGGGACTGGGAACTGAACCCAGGGACACTCTACMACTGWGCTGTATTCCCAACCCCTTTTCTTTTTTATTTTGAGACAGCGTCTCCCTAAGTAGTCAAGGCTGGTCTAATCCTCCTGCCTCAGCCACTTGAGTTGCATGTGCCACCGTGCCTGATTTTTTTTCTTAATCAGACAGAGTTACTCATCTGACTTGTGGCTTGTTCAAGGTAACTAGTGCCACTCTTGGCTTTGATAGGCTCCCAGGCAAAGCTCAAACACAGGCCACCTCTCCATTTGGCAAATGGGCCTGGTATGAGTCAAGGGGCCTCTTCTAGAAGACTTTTTATAATGATGTGACAGCCCAGCAGCTTCCCTTGCTCCCATGCCACCTTCGGATGCAGGGACTGGGCAGCTGGGCAGCTGCTGCACTTCAGTGCCTGGGAAGTAGATTTGGAAAGAGCCAAAGACAGGGTAGAGGGTTGCCTGGGGCTTCCCGGGCCCTGCTGGRGCAGCCTCCAGGACTTGTGCCCTTCTCTCCGTGGGGCAGGTTGGCTCTCGGGCAGCCCTGAAGGATGCTTTTGTTCTCCTTCCCTACCTAGATTGGCAAAGGGACCGGCCCACCCTCTCCCACCAAGGACCGGAAGAAGGATGTGTCCTCCCCCCAGCGGGCCCAGTCCAGCCCACACCGCAGGAACAGCCGCAGCGAGAGACGGTGAGGGATGACATTGCATGGGGACAGGGCCAACACAGCCTTCCCCTTTCCTCTTCTCCTCTGGGTCCCTCTCCTTCATATCCTTCTGTCACCCATGGGAAGTGACCTGGGATGGRTGTGTTTAGGTGTTGGCATCTCCCACAGCAGCGTGGTGCCATTTCCCCAAAGAAAACACCCCTCTGAAGGCCCCTGGCCGCCCTGTGCTGGACCAATATGGTCCAGACAGAAAGGTCTACAGCAGGCAGCAGAATGGGGGGGTGTGAGGGTGGGTGGCCACGGGGCTCCTGCCAGGCAAAGAGTGCCCCTGTCGTCTCCTGCAGCTCTGTGTAACCAGGGTAAGTAGCTTTGAACACAACTGGGCCCCCAAGACTCCCAAAAGTCTGTGGGTTCTGTCTGTGTCTAGATGGCAAAAAAAAAAAATGCCATTAAAATACCAAGTCTCCTGCTCTGATTCCCTCCCCTCACATTCTGGCTCTTGCTTTAAATATAATTGTCATTTAGGAGCCACCCCTCTGGCATGAGTTAAGGGATACCAAGCAGATCTTTGGCACCAAAATGTCCATCACCATTGACTTTGACCTAGGAAGCTTTTGTAAAGAACAGATTCCCCTGGGGAGATTTATGCTCTGAGGTATTACCCACCAGCTGCCACCAGATTAGCTAACCTCCAGCAGAGAACAGGGGCCCTGTGAGATRGGAATCCCGTTCGGGAGGCTCTGGCTGGCCAGGGTTCCAGAAACACGTCTCCACTGTGTCCTCCCATTCCAGGGCCCCCAGGAGAATGGAGGAGAGAAGCCARCAGGGCAGCTCCTCCTCCTCCAGCTCCCGATTACCACTCACGGCCCGCTGCTCTGCTCTGCCTCCCTGCAGGCCCTCGGGTGACAAGAAGCCTTCAGAGCCCAAAGCCATGCCAGACCTCAACGGGTACCAGATCCGAGTCTGAGGCACAAGCAGCACCCCAGCCCCTGCTTCTGGAGACCATGATCCACCTGCTGGAACTGGCCTTGCTCCAGRGAAGGGGTTGTGGGGGCAGGGGGCAGGCTGCAGGCTGCAGGAAGGGTGCCTTGTGGCTCCGCCCCACTCTGCTGCCCCTGCCACTGAGCCAAGTCCCTAACTTTGGGCCAAGAAGACAGTATTTTATTTGGAGTCTTTGGCTCTACGACTGATGTTTAAGGTATTTAGGGGAAAAAGACAATGACAGATGGATGTGCTGGTGGCTGGAAGGGCAGCGCTCAGGGGCCTGAGAGCCGAGGGGCGGGGGGAGGATGGCTTGCTGGTTCCCCAGTGACTCTACTCCCAGTGGCTCTCTGGGATTTGGGTGCATCCTGTAGATGGGAAATTTCTCAGCCCCACCAGCCTGTGTGGGTTGAGAGGATGAGGTGTTCTGCAGTTGGGACTGTCCTGGCAGAAACTTGACCCAGGGAAAGGGAAGCAGGGTAGACTCATCCTGAGAAAGGTCTGTGAGCCCATAAATCAGGAGCTGGGCGCAGGCCGCATCTGCCTAAGAGCAGGAGCTGGTGGCCCAGAAGAGCCCTTGGCCCTTGTGGCCCCATAGGCAGCACCATGTGGGCCTGAGCCAAAGCTAGCAGGGGTTGGGCTGGAGGAGAACCAGAAGAGGGCCCTGGGCGGAGGAGAGCTCCAGGGCCAGCAGCAGGGTCCACGTGCACAGCCCCGCCTCGCCTGTTACTGCAGCCTGGGGGTTCCCAGCAGAGGGTGTGGACTTTGTGGAGGGCCCAGAATGACCCTGGGGTCAGCAAGGCTGTGGGACTGAGCAGACCTGGGTGCCAGTCCTGGCTGAGGTGGGCACAGGGTGAGACTTCAGGCCTGGGTCCTTCCCCTGGCTCTTCTGGGAGTGGCCTGTGCTGTGTCCCCTTTCTAAAACTTCAGCCCTTGCTGGGGAAATCAAGACCAGACCAGCAGAGCTGTGCCCCAGGCCCACATCCCCTCCGTGAGCAGCCCCTTTAGGCTCGTGGGTTAGAGGGACAAAGGGGCCTGCCACAGTTAGTGATTCCTCGGGGCACTAGTAGAGAAGAAGCCAAGCACCTGGAGTCATGCACATTCTGCCCATCCTCCATGAGACCCCTGGCAGGGAAGAGAAAGCATGTGGAAAAGTTGGCAGAGCTGGGAGAAGGTTCTGGAAGTTCAAACAAGAAGGTGTAGGGCAAAGGGCAGTTGGACCATAAGAAGGGACAGAGCCCGAGACCTGGGGGTGTAAGTGAGGAAGGGATGTGGGAGGAAGTTTAGGATCAGGCTGCCTTGGGGAGGGGTGAGTTCCCCAGCACAGAGGGCTTCTTGTCAGGAAGCTGGAGAGAGGATGAGGTTATAGAAGGGCAACTGGATTTGGCGATCGTTAAGGTTTTACTGAGAGGCTGTGTCGACCTGGGGCAGCCTTCAGTGAGGCTGCAGAGGAGCTGTGAGCCTGGGCAGGGGAGCAGCAGAACTGGGGTTGTAAACGCAAATGCCCACAGGGCCAGCAAGTGACAAACAGGAGGGCGGCATGGGGACCGTGGCACACTGCGGGCTGCTGCTGCTCAGCTGTCCTCACAGTGCAGGCCCTGTGGGGCCAGATTGTGTTTGAGACCAGAACCCTGAATCTGGATGAGAAATCTGATTTTTAAAGGTTGGCAAATCAGGTCAAGAAATTTAAATGCCAGTTTACGCAAAAGAGTACGTTTGCCCCCTCTGCAGTCAAGAGCTTGTGCTGGCTAGGAGTCCATGGGATGCTTTGGAGTGGGAAGGTCCGGGGTTTCCAGAGGAGATCCCTCCAGAGTCGAGTCTCAGCAGCAGAGACACCCACCCCCCACACACTCCCACCAGGGAGCCACCCTGAGCTCATCCTTGCTGTCCCTGCAGACAGGCTGGAGACCTGGGTAGGTGGCACCCAGCCTGCCAGGAGAAGGGCTGGTGCCTGGAAGCAGAGAGAAGGAGAAGGAGGGCAGAGCCCTGCAGGGAAGGCCCCAGAGGCTGCTGCTCATCCACCCTGCAGCTCAGGGCCCAGAGCCAGGCCCCACGCACCCTAGGAGGCCAGCCAGTTGGGAGCCTCACCAGGTTCTTCTTAGGGTCAGTGGGCCCTAGGGAGGTGCCCAGTTTGCCCCCAGGCCACATCCCTGGCCAGACCAGTGAGATGGTCATGGTGATCCCTGGCTCACTGGCCCATCTCAGCTCTCAGGGAGTGGGGATTGTGGTCCCCATGTTCCTCCCTTCCCCAACATAGAGATGGCTCACCTCGGGAAAGGTGAGGCTGAAACAAGGTCCTTTCTGGGTCTGGTTGTGGCTGCTCATCAGCAGGGAAGAAGCCCCAGATGCTTCTGGGAACTTCCCAGAAATGACAGGGTATAGGGCGAAGAGATGCAAGAGGGAGCTGGGAGCCAGAGTCAGGTAGACAGAGGAAACTGCTCCTAGTTCCTAGGACACTCTGACCCACAGGCTCTCTCCTGGGGAAGCTTGGGGAGGAGGAAGCAGAGTGGAACCCTTACCCTGCTTGCTCTCTGCTGACCCCCATCTGCAATCCCTGGCACTCACCCCTCCTGAGCTGAGACCTCAGGCCTGTGGAGACCACCACAGGACACAGTGGTGCTTTTGAATTTATTTTTAACTGTTTCCCATGTAGCAACCCCTCCTCCCCCCGGGCTGTTTACACAGGCTGTGCTCTCTGGGGCTGGCCTGGCTGTGAGGTTTCTGGGGAGACAGAGAGGCAGGGACTTTGGGGCCTTAGTCACCTTCCATGGTGTCACCTCATCTCACTGCCTGTGAGGGACAGGGGCCTGGCTGATGTGACCCCAGCTCCTCTGCCCTGGTGCAATCTGCTGGCTAAGGAGGGGTCATGGTGAGGTCAGAGAAAGCTGCTTGGTGGAGGAGGCCTGGGGTCGGGGCGATTACAGGGCCTCCCAAAGCCTGGCTCCTGGTGCCAGGTGCCAGGGCGGGAACACCAGGAAGCTGGCTTCGGAGCCTTCCCATCCACCAACTGCCAATCCTCTCCCTCTGTGGCCTCACCACATTCTCATACCCCTCGCCCGCCACTCCAGCAGCCCGTGCTCACGTGGGCTTGGCCGAGTGCAGAGAGCAGCAGCCCTGTGGCCCCAGGATGAGGTGATGCAGCCCAGGGCCAGGGCACTGATTTTCAGGAAGAGCCAAGACGTCGACATGTCTGTTTCTAGCCTTTCTGTCCTCTGCCCCCACCTCCTAGAGCACGGTCTGGCTCTGGGAGTCAGTCTGACGCTGGCTGGTGAGTGCCCAGAGGCCCCTGTGCGTGTGTGCCATGGCAGGCCACCACCTGCACTGTGTCCCTGGCCTTGGAGAGCAGGGGAGTGCCAGGCCCAACAGGCTGATGGGTGAAGGGCAGGAGGCCTCCTGTAGAGGGCTGGGGGGGAGCACACTCCTGCCAGGGACCAGCCTCCTACCAGGCTCTTGGGCCAGGCAGGGCTGCGTGGTGCTAGCTGCAAGTCCACTGGGGTGACCCTCTCGCTCCATGTTGGTGCTCCGTGGTCCCCCTTTTAGTTCAAGCCTGATAAAAAGGAGAGCTGGGCCTGGCCCGTGGGCCCTGTGATGACCAGCTGCCCTCCCCAGGCTGTGACGTGTGGTCCTCATGTTGTCCTTCCTTTGCTCATATCAGTATTGCCCTTCCTTTCACCTTGACACTTTGTCTCATTCCTGTTCTCACTTTCCCCCTGAAACAAATAAAGTCTCCCCAGCTTGTTGTGTGGGCTGGGCAGAAATCACAACAAGGCCTCCTCGTCTCTCTTCCCCCTGGGAGCTGGGGCCCCAGCCCACCCGCCTCCCACCATCATCAGCCACTGGCTGCAAGAACCCAGAGGGGAGGGGAGCAGAGTCTAAAACCAGGAAACTTCCCCGCCGTCATGATGGACGATGGACACAGGCCTTCAGAGGTCCCTTTTTTCTCAGCCTGCCAAAGCCACTCAGCTCTTGCTAACCTTATCTGGGAGCAGATAAGCTCCCTCTTACAGCTCCGGGGTTCACCCTCAGGTGTATCCCAGCCCTGCTCTCCCTGCTCAAGCCCACCACGCCCATCAGGACAAAGGAGAAAGGGAGGTTCTTCCAGGAGATGAGCTTACTTCAGGAAACCATAGCARCAGGGAACTGAAGTCCCTCCTCATCAGTCACCAGGCCACAGATTTGGAGAGCACCCCTGGGTCCACCCAACATGCCCTTTCTTCCCCTTCATTGTCCCTGGGTGTCAACTCTTTCCACACTGACAAACTCAATCAGTGGAGAAACACAGGATCTCAGGCATTTCCTTAACCCTTCCTTCTGTCCCGTGTCTCTGCTCTCCTTTCCTTCAGCTTAAGAGCAAAACCCAGACTTGTAAGCAAAGGAGATATTTCCTACTTCTTACCCCAGTCCATCCCCACAAAGTCCTAACTAGACTGCAGTTTACCACAGGAAGCTGCCCTTGTTAGTAGTRTGGCGCGCTCAGATTGGGGGAGAGGCAGCGGGCAGCTGGAGAGGCCACATCGGAACTGACGACATCTTGGACTGTGCACTGTTAAGTAGAAGCACTTTTATTGCAGGCTTATTTGAATCCACTGAAATGACACCCCAAAAGCCTTTCCACGAAGGTAACTGAATTAGCGATGTCACACTGCACAGCCTTCCACAGGCAGTGCCGACATCCACACGCTGAAAGTCCAGCTAAAACAACACAGCACAGAAGCCTGGTGGGCAGGCACCAAGAAGACGGCTCTCCTGTGGAGGTGGCCTGCGGCAGGCCTGGGCTCCTTCCTTAGGATGTAGACTCCAGGGAGGGTAAGAACCCAACTTCCTGGGGAGAGGGGCTGCCTCATTTCTTGCTCCCCTGGTTCTCTCAGGTGCACAGCATGTGCCTGCCTAACCTAAGCATGTGATTAAACAGAATTGGACCTTTGGAAGTGGGTGGCACGTCTCAGCCCTGAAGATGAAAAGGTTGACACTCTGCCCACCCCCCATCCGCCAGGACCTGGCACTGCTACTGGGGAGGGCAGTGGCCATGGGAAGCAGTTGTCACACTAAGCAGACTGGCCCAGACGCAGGTTGCCTGATAACCCTTAGCRTTTGCCAGTGGGGATGAAGGGACCAGCTGTTGAGGCCTGGCTTGTGGTGATGGGCCACCTCAGGTCAGCTGGAGGGCTAG